TATATATATATATATATATATATATACACATATATACACACATACACACACACACACACACAGTAAATAAAATTCCTAAATCTTAGTTAAAGTATTACTACATCAATTATAAATAAGAAAAACAATTTTGATAAATATTGCATTAAAACTTCCATTATTATTCAAATTAATCCTAAAATTGAAAAAGTATGATCAAATCACTCATTATTAAAACTCAAATTCACTGTAATAGTTATTGCTAATCATTAGTTTAACAGACCAAGGCTACGTTTACACTAGTGCATTTTCGTTAGGGATGCATCGATCCGATATTCAGTATGGGTTCCGATACTGGCCTTTTCTGCTGGATCGGGTATCGGTCAGACGAGACCATTCCAAATCCGATATTGTGTGTATACTATTCTGTGTTGTTAAGCCCCACGAAAGGCACAAAAACATTATAAAAGCACCATAAAGTTTTCGTGCACTATATTTTAAGTGTTCTGAAGCCATTCCATAGTTTAATGTGACGTATAGATGAATATTTAAGTCAAGTTCACGTAAACTCGTCTCCCCACTGCGTCTGTCTGTCATCCTCCATTCAGCATTCAAACTGCGCGTCCCGTTCGGTTACTACAGTCAAAACGATGAAACTCTTCAAGAGCGCACAATAACAGAGATATAAAACTGCTCAAAATATCGCACATATATAATACACTACGCATCAATATCTCTTCTCTTCCCTTTTATGCGGAGCACTGCGTCTCCGTAAAATGTCTTAATTTTATAGTATATTTTATATATATTTAAGCTACTTGTTTTTCATGAATGTATTTTACAACAATACAAAGAGCAATGTGTAACATTTTACCAGATTTAGTCCTACACTTAACTTTTATTTGTTCCCCACTAAATAATGTTTCACTAAATGTTTAGTTTGTTTTTATAAAATTGTGCACCCATGATTTTTCTAGAATAACTTTTGCTGCTGAATTATCCACTAACCTAGTTTATAGTAGTATTTTTTTTTAGTCATAGATGATAAATATATTTTTTGATTTGTTATTTTTCATTAAAATAAAAAGTTGTCTATATTTAGCAGATTGTGTTTAACACAAAAGTATAGAAATTCTACATTGATTATAAAAAAATTAAAAAAATC